ATATTGGGTAAAGTTTCTCCTAGTGAGCTTACTGAATGTCGAGGGTGTAAACTTGCCAAAATGACAGCCTTACCTTTTCATAAATGTACTTCTATATCTGATACACCATTTTCTTTAGTTCATACTGATGTTTGGGGCCCTTTACCTGTTCTCAGCAAAGTGGATTCTGCATACTATTCGTCTTTTGTTGATGACTGTACCTGTTACACTTAGGTTTATCTTATGACTCACAAGTTTGACTTTTACCAGATATACTGTACTTTCAAGTTTATGGTCACTACACATTTTGGGTCTATTATTAAATTGTCACAGTCTGACTTGGGCGGGGAATGCTTTAAAACTAAATTCTGTGAATAGTTGGCCAAATTGAGTGCCATTCACCAAACTTCTTGTACTGATACACCTGTCCAAAATGGTCGAGCTGAGCGTAAACACCGTCATCTCCTTGAGACAGCTAGGTCTCTTCTTCTCTCTACCTTTGTTTCGGCTCTGTTTTGGGGTGAGGCAGTTCTTACTGCTGCTTTTCTTCTCAACCGTATGCCTACGCCCCTTCTTTTTGGTCGGTCTCCTTATGAGACTCGATTTTCTCAACTTCCTAATTACTTCCTCCTTCGTGTGTTTGGGTCTGCTTGTTTTATCATTTTACCACGTAAAGATAGGACCAAACTTAGTACCCGGTCTGTCCTATGTGTCTTTTTGGGTTATAGTCTCACTCAGAAATGTTATCGCAGTTATGACCTTGTTTCCCATCGCCTTTTTGTCTCCCGCCATGTTGCCTTTCTCGAACGTTTACCTTACTTTCAGCTTCCTCCTCTCACCGCCCTAGTTTCCAAAGAGGATTTGGTTCATATTGATCCGTTTCCTTCTGAGGTCCTGTCTAATGAGTACATCTCCACAGTTCCTCCTAAGCTTGTTCCATCTTCTCCTCCTGCTTCACCTCTGGCTGCTTCTCCTCAGTTGGTTTCTTCTCCTCCTTTGTTGTTAGTTTATTCTCATCGTAAGGCTCCTCGTCCACCGGTTGTCCTGCCCTTGCTGCTGATCCTCTTGCTTCTGACGACTCTGATCTTGCTGCACACCGATATCCTACTCGAGCGCATCATCCTCCAAATAGGTTGGGTTGGTCTAATGCATGTTTTTTAGCTTCTTATCATACTTTTTTGTTTGTTATTCACTTTTTTTTCAGAACCTCAGTCTTACAAGGAGACTTGTCAGGATCCTCATTGGGTTCAAGCTATAGAGGATGAGTTGCCTACTTTACAGAAAACTAGTACTTGGGAGTTGGTTCCTTTACCTGCTGGTAAGAATCTGGTTGGTTGCAAATGAGTTTACAAAGTCAAGACTCATTCTGATGGTTCTCTTGAGCGTTACAAAGCTCGTCTGGTTGTCAAAGGTTTCTCACAGGAGTATGGTATTGATTATGAGGAGACCTTTGCTCCTGTTGCCAAGATGACTACTGTCCATACTTTGATCTCTGTCGCTGTTGTTCGTTCTTGGCCTCTATATTGGATGGATGTTAAGAATATTTTTCTTAATGGCCATCTCACTGAGGAGGTTTACATGTGTTCTCCTCCTGGCCTTTACGATATCTCTGGACAAGTTTGTCGCCTTCGGCGTGCTCCGTATTGTTTGAAGTAGTCTCCTCATGCTTGGTATGATCACTTTTAGACTGCTGTTATGAGCTTGGGTTTCATCTTTGTGCCTAAGACTCTGCTTTATTTCTTCTTCACACCTCTGTTGGATTTGTTACGTTATTACTGTATGTGGATGATATGATCATCACTGGTTTTGACTCTTCTGCTATATCTGAGATCAAGAAGCATCTTTTCCGCACCTTTGAAATGAAGGATCTAGGCCCCTTGCGGTATTTTCTTGATATTGAAGTAGTTTCTTCTCCCAAGGGATACTTTCTCTCTCAGTCCAAGTATGCCAATGAGGTTATTATTCTTCTGGATGATTCTACTGTATATAGAGAGCTCGTGGGTTGCTTAGTCTGTCTGACGGTTACTTGTCCTGATCTTGCCTATGTTGTTCATGTGGTTAACCAGTTTGTCTCTGCTCCGTACTCCACAAATTGGGCTGCATTGGTTCGGATTCTTCGCTATCTCCAAGGTACTATATTTCAGGGTTTACTATTGTCCTCTACTTCCTCTCTGGATTTGGCAGCCTATGCTGATTTCGATTGGGCTGGTGATGTTACTGATCGCAAATCCACGTCTTGTTTTTGTATGTTTCTTGGCGATTCCTTGATCTCTTGGAAAAGCAAGAGTTGTTGCTCACTCTATTACCGAAGCTGAGTATCGTGCTATGGCTCATGCTACTGCTGAAGTTGTTTGGCTTCGTTGTCTTCTCTCTGACTTGGGCATCCCTCAGTCTTCTCCAACCTCCCTCTATTGTGACAACCGCAGTGCTATTCAGATTGCACATAATATTATCTTCCATGAGCGGATCAAACACATTGAGATTGATTGTCACTTTGTTCGTCAACATCTGCAGTCTGGCTCTATCTCGCTTCCTTTCGTCTCTTAGGCTCTACAGCTTGCTGACTTCTTTATTAAGACTCACACCACTGCTCGGTTTCAGTTTATTCTTGGCAAACTCTTAGTGTTTTCTGCCCAAACACATTGAGTTTGAGTCTGGGTGTGAAAATAATGTTAGTATAGTATATATTATGTGAATATTGTTTCTTATTTGGAATTAGTTTAGGTTTATTCTTGTTTCCTATTTAAGATTAGGTCTAGAATTGCTATATATATCAGATGTACACATTGTATTTAAATACAACTGAATATAGAGATTTATTCAGAATTCTTACTCAGCGCTGTGGGACCTTGACTGGTTCTGACAGAGACTCAGGGACCAGCGGTGGAGGATGGGTGGTGATAGGTGATGGCTGGTTGGTGGCATTGGCTGTATGGATGACGGTTTTTAGGGTTTGGCTCTGATACCATGTAATTTGAGAGAATACAAAGCTTGAGTGATGATTATGATATCATCACCTTTTATATTAATCAATCAACTATTACAGAAGGAAGCCCCAAGGCATTAATTAAGGAATTACCTTTTATATTAATTGATTGATTAAAGAATCACAATCAATCAATTAATCAATCAATCAATCAATCAATCAATTAATCAATCACAATCTAATCTAAAAAAGGAAGTAAGGAAATATTCTAATACCACAATGCCTATAAATACAAACCTTTTCTAGTAGATTCATTCATCCATTTTTCCTTCCCTTTTTTCTTTCTTTCTTGCATCGTTTCTTTAAATTAGTTTATAGAAATTTAGAGAGTGTAGAACTCAGGTTCTGGTTTGCAAGACAGATTGTTTGTAGTGCTACTACAATTTGTGAGAGTGATCATTGTATCCTGGGAGGTAGACACCCATAATCCGTGAGCACTTATGCAGCAGCAATTCTGTCTTAAGGACAAAGTGTCACACACTCGACTTGATCGACATTTTTCTGTTCTGATTTCTGATACAAGAATAATTTTGTAAGTCATTTATTTTTGTTGTTTCAGTTTTGTTATTTACATAGAAGATTGTTCCAACAGTTTTGACGCCTTTCTTCTTTCGGAATCATCTTTGGCAAGGACAAAAAACTTACTACCTGAACCCTTGGCATGTAACGGGTGTTGGAGTAGATTCTTTTTGAAATTATTTTGGATACCATGATAATTATGTTTACAATAACAAGCTCAAGTTTCATTGCAATGGAAATGCTCACTAAACCTCAGAACCAGTTACGGCTGTTATGTATCAAAACCTTATTGATACCCTGCATCAGAGTGTGCAGCTTAAAACCTTAATAATCAGGGTTTAGTTTTAGACTCCTAGGCAGAAGACTCAGAGTGCTGAGTTAGATTTTTTGTAATGATTTTAAGTTCATTTAAACTTCAAAAGCTACATTCTTATGCTCAAGATGAAAACACTAACGTCATTTGTTGAGGCATACGTTTATTATCTGTGCCCCCAGTTCTCCTTCCCCACATGGGGGACGTCAAGAGCAGACTACTTCAAGATGTCATGTTAAAATATGGAAGAATTTTTTTGTAATGATTTTAAGTTCATTTAAACTTCAAAAGCTACATTCTTATGCTCAAGATGAAAACACTAACGTCATTTGTTGAGGCATACGTTTATTATCTGTGCCCCCAGTTCTCCTTCCCCACATGGGGGACGTCAAGAGCAGTTTCCCCTGTCTTCAAGTCTCTGGAGGAGGGACTGATACTCTGCAGCATGGGGATGAACTGTTGGATCAATCCAACTGTTGGAGAGCTGTTCGGGCTTGTCCCATGGCATCTTCTTCTTCATTGGATAGCAAGGCCTGAATTTCTGCAAGTATAGCACCAGCTGAGGTGTTATATCGCACAAGGAGAGACGATGCTCATCATAGGGTCTATATTCATAGAACTGGATCATTCAACCTCCGGCAAGGCGAGTATGGTCCAACAAGATGGTCTCTTAGGTACTACAAGAGGCACCAGTGGTTTTGGTCATTCAGGAATGGCTTCTACTTCAAGATGTCATGTTAAAATATGGAAGAATGTCTAGAAGAGTTAGAAAGAGCTTTTTTCCCCCCCTTAAAAAGATATCTTCTTTTTCATTTCTGTCATCTTTTTGATATATATTTTATAATTTGAATTTTTTTTATTGTTTTATGTGCTTATGGAAATGATTGCAAAAAGCTTATTAATCCTGTTCGATGAATAGTTTCTTCCTTACGTGACACGTACACACTATTCTTTCTTTTCCCCTCAACTTCTCATGGTTTTGGCTTCCTATTGTTCATGGAATTGCACCTTGCTTGTACATGGGTCTGCTGCACTGTCAATCATGCTGCCGGAAATGGGCTAAAATTTATTATTAATACAATTTTGACATTTGTTTTTTCGTGATTAACATTTGATAATTTAATCCATCATCAACTTAGACTGAAATTAATTCTCACTATATCTTTTTCTCACTTTTTGTGACATTTCATTGCATACAATCAGCTCGAGGAAATAATTGCTGCTTTGCCAAGAAAGTTAGTAGTCTTTGTTACCCATCACCATCATGATCACGTCGATGGTAAGTTATTGCAGAATTCAAACTGAAACAAACAGATTTTGCTTCAGCATACATTCATCGGTTAAATGTTTTTGAATAACAGATATCTGTTGATTTATCAAAAAGAAAAAAGTAAAAAATATCAGATATCTGTTGACAACAATAGTAGGCTACTCATTTATAGAAGTATCAGTTGAATTTTGCAATGAGATGGGAATAGTTGGTTGAACTGTGAAAACTCAGAAGTGGCCCTTGCTATGGATAATTTGACCATGAGACTCCTTGGATCATTGTTTGCAGTCTTTTAGACAAGGTCTTGGCCAGCAATGTGACGACCTAATAATGTCTATCTTCGATCCGTATTTCTGGCATGATGAAACAATACCACAACTCACAAGTAGCAATTTGAAAGCTTGTAAAGATCTTTAACAAAATTGAATATTAAGGAGACAACAGAGCCATATAAAAGAGAAAAAAAACTGAATCTAAAGCACAGTGCATTATATCATAGTCTAAATGGTCAACACAAGTGCTATCTTGGTAGCTACTGTGATTTACACATCACTAGGATAACGAAATCCAATGCAATATATGTATAAAACAAGGTCTCCAGAGAGAGGCCAAGAAATAGTCATCATCCATTTCTCATCTTTAGCATCCCCCACTTTGGAAACCATCAAAATTACTTCTACATGACTACAAGCTTCAAATAAATAATTGAAGCCCTAATTTCTGAAATGAAGACACTTGAGAACTATACTGACGCTCCCTGGGAGTGTTTTTTGGTAGCAGAAAGTTTTACTTCCTGACTTTAAAGTCTTCCTTTGTTTCGTTGGATTGTCTTGGGCTATCTTGGTATGTTGATTTGGCTCAGTTTGCAAGATTATCATGTCTCAGATGAGACAACTATCCTCTTGGTTGGTCATGTATTGCTATATTATTGTATCAGGTCAAAACATCGAATAAATCCCACTGAGACTAGACCCCCAGGTCCCTAGTGAGATGAGACATCTGGATTCTTGCCTTGGTTGGCCAATAAGTTGAACCGTGCTGAAATTCGGTCCATTTACAGATAATTTGCTAAATGTTATATGCATTGTTTTACTTGAATCTTTCTTGTTCTTTCTTTCAATTAATGACAATATTTGAAGTTTTAGCAACAGTTACGTTGTTCCTTTCTATATATTTTAATCACTATGTATATTATTTTATTACTGATTTTACAACCAGAGTTTTTTAGCTGGATGTTCAAACTAGTGAGCTGGAAACGACTTTGGAAGTCGACATCATTTTGTCATAGAAAACACTGCTCAGACAGGATCAATGGGAAGACTTCTAAGATTGATCTACGGGGAAGGAAACATGTTTCATTTCACACAGGATTCAAACATGCTGATCCCCCATTCTCCAATACAGAGAAGAGGATATGCATATGTAATGTTATGAAAAAGTAATGAAAGGGTCAAGATGAAGACAGTACTGGCATATAAATTTTGAGTAAGAAAGTTAACTTGATGTTAATGAGGGAGAGAATGAGGAGGAAAGATACCTCGTAGTGACTCAATGTTTTTGGAGACCTTAGACTAAATATCAATATGACACCTTATCTAGTTAAACATTTGAAAAGTTGGGTCCTTCGACAATAATAATTTTTTAAAATTTTCTTGTGGGTGTTGGGCGACAACCTAAATGGCCTAATAGGTGAGCCACTCCTTAGATACCTTCTCTGTTCTGTTGAAATGCGGGATGTGAAGGAAATCAGATATTTATGGAGTTATCTTCCAATTCGTGAGCAGTAACAATGAAATCTTTGCTTCTTTTTTGAATCATGTGCATTATTATTTTTTTAATTGTTTTCCATTCTAACGAGCTGGATTCAGTGCTCCTCAAATCTGTTGTGTTTTTTCTGCTTAATTATTGTTGTACTTTGATCCATAGGTGCTTCATCTCTAATTATCTTCTTGTCTCAATTTTTTATATGAACAATGTGTTTGTTGTAAAATTAAGCAACAAATATGCATCAAATAATGCTATAAAACATGTATTCCTATATATTTTGTGAATTGTTTTGGCAACTAGAGTTGGCCATTGGCCTGCAAGGGCCTGTACTTATGGATGTGAGCTTACTATATAGGCCTGTACGACTTGGCACCATTTTAAGGCCCATCCTGTCTCGGCCCAGGCATGGGAAGAGTGCTTGAGGCTTGGCCCAAGAAATTTCATGTATACACATTGTTCATACATATATATACATAAGATAAATGCATATGTATATGCTCACATATACTTCTATTATTCCTTTTTCTTTGGAGGAAAAATATATAGTATCAGTTGTACAAGGAATAGAGTAGTGAGGCTTAAACCCCAAAACTTGTTACTTGACACAGCATACCAACACCATTTGGCAACCAAGTTTGTTTTGTCTTTTTTGAAATTTTAATTTTTTACTATGCAGTCTAGAGTGGACAAGCTTAGACCTGGTATATTTTTTGGGTCAGGCCTATAGCTAATAATTTAGGACTGATGTTGGGCTGGGCCAGCCTTGGGCTACTAAAAATTTCACTATTATTTAGCATAGACTCCACCCGAACCTGGCCTGGTTGAGCCCATGGCCACCCCTATCAGTAACAATATAGAGGCACATATTGAGTTATCAGTTTTAAGGTATTACTCTCCATCATTTGTGCAATATAGATTATAGATATTATTAAAGAATAAAGAGTAAAGACAAACTTGTGCATCTGACATATGGTGTCAGTTTGTTACACTAGCAAGTTGACTACCATGACTAGAAAGTAAATGTGATAACGAGACCGAAGTTTAGTGCTTAGTGAAGAATATGATCTTGATAGCCATGTATCGCCAATCAAATTCAGGCATCTACAAAGTCTTGCATATCATGTTATTTTTTGGTTAAATGCTCCTTGACTTCATTGGTTTCTATTAAAAATACGCATCGATAGGAATATACTTTTCTTGTGGTTCGATGTCTAATTTGTTGTATATGAAATTTTCTTTTTTCTCTCTCGTAGAAATTTTATCAACTACAACCTAATTACTATATATTTTTCTTATATTTATTGGATTTTCTCTTCTAAAACATTTGGATTTACTTGCTGTTTTACCTAACTGGTGCTAAATTGACTATGATCTTCTGTTTGATGGTTTGGTGTAGGTCTATCAGTCGTTCAGAAGAGCAATCCTGATGCTATACTTTTGGCTCATGAGAACACCATGGGTCGCATTCGAAAAGGTTACAATTTTCCTTTGTTTGACCTCCCTATTCCTTTGAGGCCTTTGCTTATTTTTTGTCTTGGGAAGGAATTTTGACCAAGGCCATGTATGCATAGCTATTTCTTTATTTTAAAAGTTTAACTCCCTTGGCATCTTAATTTTCCTTGTTGTCTACATATATATTTCAGATTTTGTTTATTTATTTATTGTTTTTTGGGTGGGGGGAGGTTGCAGGTTAGGGTGAAGACTTTTGTAAGGTTTAGGAAGTTAGTTTGTGAATGTGGAAAGACTCTAACACTGGTGTTTGGAGATTGCTTGGTCATGTTGTGATTATGACATTTGACTGGACTGTTTGAGAACAATAGCTAATATATTTTGAAGTTGGGGGTATTCATTAAAATATGCAAAATACTGTCACATGAACCAAAAATCGATGACATAATTAAAAACAAGAAATAAAGTTCTGTGAGGGTGATCCAAAAATAGGGTCTTTTGCAGATGCGGTCCTAATCTTGTGTCACATCGTCAACAAGTGCTTTAATCCTTTCAGAAATCCAAAAGTGGTCCTCAAAATCAAAAGAAACCTGTGTTTTTAAATTTTAGTATGGTTTAGTGAAAAAATGAAATAAAAATGAAACTTGTTTGTTTCCCCTTAGTTTTCTTTGAAATCAAAAGTTTCTATTGATTTGTGTTATTGGGAACTGTGCTTTGATTGAAGCATGTTTGATGGCTGATCCTTGTAATAAATGGACTCACAAAATAAACACAAACAATGTGACTGACAGCTTCATGCAGTTAAAATAATTCATGGTGGCCCCTTGTATCAATAGATAATGACAAGCTGATGCAAAATTCTCGTCCTGATTAAAGATGAATTTTGGGATTTAAGGGTTGGAGATCTGCCATGTAGTTTAATTAACACCCTCACTGCAGATTTTAGGGATAAATGGCATCTGATAAATTTGCCTCATAATTTAGTGGGTGGCAATACTGATCTTCAGTATAATGTGTTAGCATTCTTCTGCTGAAATAATTTCCTTCTTTATTTGTCGAAACATCTCTACCAGGTTTCTAATTTCTGAGCATATTGAGATGTTTTTGGCTTTCTGTCCTGGGGTTCAAGATGTAAATTGCTGTTTGACTGGAGGTCTTGTTAGCCTCCCTTTTTAATGGCATCTTTGTACCCAAGACTTTATGTAAGGAAGCGTGCTTCATGGTGATCGCTGCTTGGGACAAAGTACTTACGGTCTGTCACTGGGTCACCGGATCAGCAGGAAGTGAACTTTTCCATAGAAATGTAGATGTGCTAAGGGAATCTATCAATGGCGAATCAACATATACTGTCTTCTTTGTCATTTCTCCTTCCTCCATGGTATTCTGTGTGGCATAATCTAGTACTGACACTCTGTTATGTCATTCATGGACTATGGCAATATTGTGAGAACATGGTCGATGAATGTATGACTGAGGAAAGAATGCACATTTGCAGAAGTGATGCCCATTTATTATTCTGATGGAGAGTATATAGAAAGGAAGCAAAATTTATGTGAAAAATATGTGTTTTGAGTTGAGAACCTAGTGCTCGGAACCAAAGTTTTTAAAGGCGAATGCGTACCTCGAGGCGTTTTACCCCTCATGAAGCGAGACGTAAGCCTCAGGGCGTTGAAGCATAAGCATTTGTGGCTATTGTGTAAATTTTTGTGTCCTCTTGTACCTGTTATGTCAATATAGAGCTTGAACCGTTCTTCTTATTATGATAAACATACTTTTTCAACCTGTGACCAATGTTGAGTATGCAATTTTGTTTCCACATGAACATCTCAAAGTCTTTTCACAGCAACTAAAGGAAATACAATCCTTGACTGACACACACAATATTGTTAGTAAACTGCTAAAACATTTTTAACTGAAGTATTCTTTATAAAATAATGAACAGTTGAAAATTATCTGATCTGTTCTAAATGGACTTGGTATATTGTATGCTTTCTGTTGTTAAAATAACAACTAAAATTTTGTGATTAAATTAAGGGTAAATTACAATAAACCCCCCTGAACTATGATCTTTTTTCACTTTGCCCCCAAAAGTTTAAAACTCAACACTTTACCTCCTTCATGTTATGTGTAAGAAATAATGTATAGAGAAAGAGAGAGAATAAATTGTATGTATTATTATTGATTGATATATTGATAGATTACAAGATGCATTAATTACAATTCCTATACAATCTATATATAGAAGAAAATGTGGTAGTAGGTGTAGTGGAGGTGATAGTGGGTTAGGTGAAGTGGAGTGTGTAGTGGAGTAGAGGTAGGTGAAGTGGAGTGTGTAGTGGAGTAGAGGTAGGTGAAGTGGAGTGTGTAGTGGAGTAGAGGTAGGTGAAGTGGAGTGTGTAGTGGAGTAGAGGTAGGTGAAGTGGAGTGTGTAGTGGAGTAGAGGTAGGTGAAGTGGAGTGTGTAGTGGAGTAGAGGTAGGTGAAGTGGAGTGTGTAGTGGAGTAGAGGTAGGTGAAGTGGAGTGTGTAGTGGAGTAGAGGTAGGTGAAGTGGAGTGTGTAGTGGAGTAGAGGTAGGTGAAGTGGAGTGTGTAGTGGAGTAGAGGTAGGTGAAGTGGAGTGTGTAGTGGAGTAGAGGTAGGTGAAGTGGAGTGTGTAGTGGAGTAGAGGTAGGTGAAGTGGAGTGTGTAGTGGAGTAGAGGTAGGTGAAGTGGAGTGTGTAGTGGAGTAGAGGTAGGTGAAGTGGAGTGTGTAGTGGAGTAGAGGTAGGTGAAGTGGAGTGTGTAGTGGAGTAGAGGTAGGTGAAGTGGAGTGTGTAGTGGAGTAGAGGTAGGTGAAGTGGAGTGTGTAGTGGAGTAGAGGTAGGTGAAGTGGAGTGTGTAGTGGAGTAGAGGTAGGTGAAGTGGAGTGTGTAGTGGAGTAGAGGTAGGTGAAGTGGAGTGTGTAGTGGAGTAGAGGTAGGTGAAGTGGAGTGTGTAGTGGAGTAGAGGTAGGTGAAGTGGAGTGTGTAGTGGAGTAGAGGTAGGTGAAGTGGAGTGTGTAGTGGAGTAGAGGTAGGTGAAGTGGAGTGTGTAGTGGAGTAGAGGTAGGTGAAGTGGAGTGTGTAGTGGAGTAGAGGTAGGTGAAGTGGAGTGTGTAGTGGAGTAGAGATGAATCGGTTGGGAGGAGTGTGCCTTTTGTGTTTGTTGAGAGAGTGAAAGACAACTTTAAGCAGTGTTATGGTGCTAGTATAAGAACTGATGGTCTAGATTCCATTGGGGATGAAGATGATGATGAAGAAGATGATTTATTCCCAGACCGATTTAGTATTGCATACAATCTTGACAGAGAATTTGGGTGTGTACATCATTCCTTTTAATTTATTTTTTGGGCTTTTTTATTTGTTTGTTTGGGTTGGGGGTTAAGGGTATAGAGCCTGCTTAATTTTGATAGGAATTGAGTTTGATCTTATATACTTACTAACCACTAATTCTGTTTTTTGTTTAAAAGGCCAAGGATTAAAGAGCACATGCAGTACTGTATGAACCATCCAGATGAAATAAGTAAGCTGTCCAAACTGAAGACTCAAATAACAGAGGTCAAAGGGATAATGATGGACAATATTGAGAAGGTTTTGGATCGTGGGGAGAAAATTGAACTCCTGGTGGATAAAACAGAAAACCTCCAGTTCCAGGCTGACAGCTTCCAGAGGCAGGGAAGGCAACTACGACGGAAGATGTGGCTGCAGAATCTCCAAATGAAGCTGATGGTGATGGTGGAGGATGAAGGCAACACAGATCTGAAATCGAAGGCGAGGAATAATCTTTCTTCTTCAGCGACCGATTCAATGGCGGATTGCGTGGCAGAGAGGGAGAGAGAGAGATGGCAAGGAGACCGGACGAGGAATACGATTACTTGTTCAAGGTGGCGTTAATCGGCGATTCAGGGGTCGGTGGAGTCTGTGATGAGCTCCACCGAGACAGATAGTGATGAGGAAGGTATGTGTAGAAAATAAGCTGAATAGGTTGAGGTCCGGCGGACGGCCAAGGCGAGATTGCCGCCCGCCGGGGAAGCGAAACTATTAGGTTCTAAACCTGCTCTGATACCATGTAAAAATATATGTATTATTGATTGATAAATATTGTTTGATATCTATTACAAATGGTGAGTGGCTCATTATATAGGAGAGGGTGAGTGTAGTAGGTGAGGAGTAGGTGAGGAGTAGGTGGTGGTAGGTGATGGTAAATGGGTGGTAGGTGATGGTAAATTCTAACAATTATTTACTTAATTTTTCCTGTAAAATATAGTTGCAAAAATGGATTCTTTCTATTTTTTTATATTTAAACAATCCAATAGACTAAGTTTAACAAAAGCCCAAGGCAACATCTGCATGTGCATACTCCTCACATGTTTATACGCAAAAAGCGTACAAAGCGCACCAAAGGCGCATGTCTCAAACTATGATGCGCAAGCCTTTGGGGAGTAATGCCTAAAAATCAAAGCATTGATGCGTTTTACCTTAGCCTCAAGGCGAGGCGAGCATCGAGGAAAGCCTTTTAAAACTTTGCTCGGAACTTGATCTCTGGTCTTTGCTAGTTATATGGCTTTAATCTTAGTGGCAGTCTGGGGCAGCCAGATTTGGTTTGTTCAGCTGTCAATTCTTGTGGCTATTGTGTAAATTTTTGTGTCCTCTTGTACCTGTTATGTCAATATAGAGCTTGAACCGTTCTTCTTATTATGATAAACATACTTTTTCAACCTGTGACCAATGTTGAGTATGCAATTTTGTTTCCACATGAACATCTCAAAGTCTTTTCACAGCATACTAAAGGAAATACAATCCTTGACTGACACACACAATATTGTTAGTAAACTGCTAAAACATTTTGTTAAAATCCACCTACTCTCCACCTACTTCACCCACTTAAACCTACTCCACTAAACCTAACCCACTACACCACTACCACCTCACCTACTCCACTAAACCTAACCCACTACACCACTACCACCTCCACTTCACCTACTCCTTACCTACTACACACTCAACCTCTTCTACCTACTCCACTAAACCTAACCCACTACACCACTACCACCTCCACTTCACCTACTCCTTACCTACTACACACTCAACCTCTTCTATATATAGGAATCATGAATCATTGTAATAGATATCAAATATCAATCAATAATACATCATTTTTTTACACATTTTTAACTGAAGTATTCTTTATAAAATAATGAACAGTTGAAAATTATCTGATCTGTTCTAAATGGACTTGGTATATTGTATGCTTTCTGTTGTTAAAATAACAACTAAAATTTTGTGATTAAATTAAGGGTAAATTACAATAAACCCCCCTGAACTATGATCTTTTTTCACTTTGCCCCCAAAAGTTTAAAACTCAACACTTTACCTTCTTGATGTTATGTCTTGTGACACTTAACCAATTCCGTTAGTAAACCGTTAGAAACTTGGATGGAAACATGCCATGTGATTGGCACATGACAAACTAAATTAAATTTTGGGACTAAACTGCCCTTATTTTATTTTCTCATAGCCAAACAGGACCTATATATTATGCATATGGGTATGTACTCTGCAAAAATGTCATGGTTTGCTGTCTCTCTCTCTCTCCCTTTGTTACCGCACCAATGGACTTCAACAATCAACACATACTTATCTCAACCAAAACAAGTCCCATTATCTATAATAACCCACCAATTATTGAATGTTGATTGCCATAGCATAAACACCACTGTACCGAAGATGCCTTTTGTTTGAGGTAGGAACAATGAAACATGCAAGGATGACTTTTACTCACTCATACAAACAGTAAGATTTGAACCTCTAGTGCATTAATCTCACCAACAGTCACATATTAATACTTTAATATAGAATACGAAGGTTTGGAATTATTACAAGACAAATATAGATTGATTGAATCCGTTGACCATTGCTTCAAAATTGATTTTTCCTGCAGAACAAGCACCAGATACTTCATGTAACCAAACCAGTGGTCGGTTGTATAAATTGGAAAAAATAGCAACCGGTGTTGCGATTGTATAAATTAGGCAAAATATCAGTGTGCTGTGTTTGTATGAAAGAGAGAAACCCAGTTCATGTGTTCTGATGTGAGAGAGAGACTGGATGGTGTGGGAGGAGTTTCAATTGGCTGGTGGTAGGGAATAAAACAAGTTGTTGGTGATAGGGTGCAGTTGTAATTTGAGAAAGAGAGATTGGCCAGTGTGGGGGTTGCAATTAGCTGCCAATGGTCGGAGGAGCAACGGTTATATCCGTCGGCAGTAGATTGAGAGTTTGAGATATGGTTTAGTGAGAGAAAGACATTGGGATTATTAGGGGAGAGAAGGATTGAGTGGTTTGATGAAGATAAAGGATGGATAATAGTTGAAGGGTGAAAGAGTAAATTAACGTTTTCTGTTAACGGCATCCACTGCCTTTGCAATTCATAAACTTGAAGGGAGGTAAGTGTTGAGTTTTAAACTTTAGGGGGCAAAGTGAATAACGATCATAGTTCAGGGTGGTTTATTGTAATTTTGTCTTAAATTAAAGTACTATTCTTGATTGGAGCATAATTTATCAGTTTGCACCAAATAAGACTGGCTGTGCTTACTTCTTGGTGTTCTTAATATGGTCTGGTCTTTTTCCTTCAAAATTGAGGATGTATGCTCTTATGATGAATACATATTGTACAGATCATTGGTCTCTTGGCCATACCCCAGTTTCAGGAGGAGAAGAGATTTGCATTGGTGGTCAGCGATTGAGAGTCATTTATGCTCCGGTAATTTTTATTTACATGATTGTTTCTTTTGAAAAGCATAGCTTTAACTTTCTTCTATAGCTGCACCTGATATGTGTACCAAATTCCATGTATCAGGCTATCATGTTAAGCTAGCAAGCCTGATATTAACACAGATTACATGTTGGAATTGAGTTTTGACCAAACGCAGATTAGCCTAAAATCCAATTTATCTTGCTTGGGCCAATTAACAATCCTTGAACAGAAAGATGCTACGATTATGTTAGGTAGTCCAAATTTCATGTCACCTTTCCATAACATGTGGGTTATTAAGTCACAAGTTCTCAACAAAATGCATTAGGGATTTTGGTCATTTTCAGTTTGATCATAAGTTGTATGTTCCATAACTTTTGTCATCTTATTCTCTTATGTTTCTTGGGATAGCTGTAATTTAACTTTTGGATGTACTATTGTTCTTCATTTTGAGACATATCGCATGGTGCATCATGTTAACTTTAGAAAATCTTCCTTATTCAGGGGCATACAGATGGCCACATGGCGTTACTTCATGTCAATACTCACTCGTTGATTGTAGGTGATCATTGTGTGGGGTAAGATTTCATTTTATACAAATAAAAGTTTGTGTGGGAAATGAATTGGTATGTCTTACGTACATCTTTAGTAAGATGAGCTATTAAATAGTTATTTTGGTTTATCAGTTCTGTTGGTTGATATATGAAGCTCTCACTCTCGCTTAAGGCAACATTTGATTAATGGGCTTCTTGCCTCAATGATTTTACTTCCATTATGTTAGTAACTTAGTATTATTGTTAATCTTATGAATTTATTTTTAATAACGTCATCAAAGCACTGTACAGTGTTGGATTTACGTTTTATTGTATTATCTTTGAACTTTTTAATCTTTCTTTTGGGTTTTCTTTTTCATTGATTTTTTTTTTGTGTTAATTTTATCTAAATATTGATTGGTCTTGTGATGTGTCACCTAGAAGCTACTTTTAACAGCTATGGAATTTTTTGTTTGTTTTTGTCAGTCAAGGAAGTGCGGTTTTGGATATTACTTCTGGTGCAAATATGCATGTAAGTGTACTTGACATCTGATTCTTCTGCCCTACGGAATGGCAGTAAAAACCAATTATTGTTTACATAGGGCCTGTAAATTTATTTCATTGAGCTTTGTAAACTCTGTTATCCAAGTAATGAGTTGGTATTCATGAGACTATAAGAGTGTGTTTTCAAACAATAAGCTAGATTCAAATTGGATTATTATAGTGGTAAATATGTAAATATCCATTTTTGTTAACAACATTAGTTTCAAATTGAATTATTATAGTTCAAGGTGGTGAAGTGTAGTGTAGCAAATTTTATTAAAGGGGTAAAGTGATACTGAGTCACAATTTAAGAGGTAAAGTGTAATTTGCCCAAATTTGGAATACCCAGGTAAAAGACTAATGAAAGGAAAGGAAGGCTTTACATATCCTCGTTTGGTGTGGGATTACGATATATTAGATTGTCATTTTTCTTTGCCATTGTTATGTTTTTGTCATGCTCATGGGTTTTGAAAATTCAATTGTTTATGCAGGAATACTTCCAAACAACTTACCAATTTATGGAGATTTCTCCACATGTGTTAATCCCCATGCATGGGAGACTTAACCTGTGGCCAAAGCACATGCTTTGCGCATATCTCAAGTATGAAATACAAATCTCATCTCTCTCTCTCTCTCTCTCTGCTGTTCATTACTGCATCCAGTTTCTCTGCGGACAAAATGTTTAGGTATATAATTTGTAAGAGGTTCACCCGTGTTGCAACCTTTACACTTTTAAGGACTTGTCCCTCCAAATTTTTTTTTTCCTCCTTTCCCAATTTTTTATTTTTATTGTTTTTCCCAAAGTTTAAAGTTATCTGTTTGGCATAGCTATTCTTTGCCAAGAAATACTTACAGACAGGCTATCTGTAGTTGGACTTTTATGCTAATGGATTTCACAGTTTTTATGCTATTCAATACAACTTTCAAATAACTTTTACACTTTGTTTGGGAACCTAGGAGAGAAAAGAAAATAAATAATTACATAAGTTGAAGAGAAAAGAAAAGAAGAGATTGTGTGTTCTCTCTTTCTTGTTTGGATAAAAATGAGAGAAAAGAAGAGAAAATAAAATAATTTCACTGCTGTCTTGTTCGGTTAAACTACATAAAAGAAAACAAAAGAAAGAAATTGTTTGATGTTGTATTACTAAAATAACATTTTATAGGTGTCATTTTTTTTTTAATAATTTCTTTTAATATTTTATTTCTATATCTAAAGAGACAGTTTTGGTATTATGAAAGAAAAGTAATTTGTTAGTTTCTTTTCTCTTCCAATCCCTCCACTTATGGACAGATTCAAATGAGGGTTATAAAAGAGAAATGTGTTTCGCTCTGTTTCTTCACATTTCACCTCATGTCTCTCTTCTTTACTAATCCAAACAAGTGATATGAACCAATATAAAGGCTTTTTTTTTTTTTCCCTTCTCAAATCACCCGATCCAAACTGGCTGTTAATGTTCTCACTTCATCAGATCATCCTGGCATAATAACTTGATATCAGACTTTCAAAAAAAAAAAAGATTAAGAAAAAGAATGAAATATTGATGAAAATTTGTTTTATTTTCAGAAATCGCAGAAGTAGAGAATCAACCATCTTGAAGTCCATTGAAAATGGAGCAAAAACATTGTTCGACATTGTTTCTTATACATATGCTGATGTTGATCGTAGTCTCTGGGTTCCTGCCAAATCCATCAAATGTGAGGCTTCATGTGGATCATCTAGCCAAACAAGACAAGTTGCCAAAGGTAGCATTCGCTTGTTTCCATGCTAGAATTTCAGCAATCAAAGTATATCTGCATACATGATTACGTAATGCTGCGCAAAAAATATACATGATTGCGTAATAGCTATGTTCATACTCTTTGGCGCTTTAATATGCATCCCATTATTTATTATTACTTTTTATTCATCTTTACTATTTTATTAAGTAATTAGCTAATTTATTTTTTACTCATCATGAAGAAGTGTCACAAATATTTGTTCTGAAAAATTATTCTCTTTGTGAGGTGAAACAAGCAGTGATATCCTGCTTGAAGGTATAAATGAAAAATACTTATCAGTAGTGTCCAACTAAGCCATTGGCCCAAACTAATAAAACCTTTTTGTTCCATGATTTCTTAATCGCTTCTCTTCTTCAACTGCTTCCAATTGCCCATCCTCTGAAACTCAATTACTGTCTTATGCAACTTTGCTAGACACGAACGATGCTGTTCATGAATCATGTATTTTTTTTTTTCAAAAGGTATCACCATTCCTGATCTCTCTCTTGGATATCTGTTACTTTTGTGTTGCAGTGTTTTTGTTTTTGTTTTTTTTATTGGTATTTTTTGTTGTTGTTATTTTTGTGTTATTTTTTTTTGTTTTATTATTATTTTTTTGTTTTTGTTTTGGTCGGTTTTTTTTTCTTTGGTTTTTCTTTGATCTCATTTGTTCTCACTTTTGGGTTCTTTAGCATCTCCCCAACAATCAGATTTGGTTCCTTTCAATTAGAGAGCTTCCACCAAAATGTCTTCTTGTCATTTAAAGCACAACACAATAACAAAGGGAGGCATTAATGATACATGATTTTAATGCTTGCCTTGGAAATCTTGCATGTATATACATATATTAATTGAAACTACCCAAAATTCTAGATATAAGTTTAAGCAGGAAAAAAGGTTGAATTTTTGCTCAAAACTGAATTGGTAATTCTCAATATGTTAAATAAACACCAAACCTTTGGGAATAATCTGCAAAACGGAGAATTTAAATTTGTAGTTGAACTTTGGTGAAAATTATGGCTCAATGCTACACTGGAACCTGAGGACTGTCCTTAAGACACTTTCATGCACATCTTTTTGACCATTAAGAATGAAATATTTCATCATGAGATATTTGTTGCTTATCAAAGAGGAAAGGAAAAAAAAAAAAAAAAAAAAACAAAAAACATGAAATAGATGAATGATGCTTCTTATAATTTGAAATATCATTTTATTCAAAAGTTCATGTCTAGTATTGCTAATACTGGAATTCTCATGAATAAAGCAAGGATTTTTGCCCGGAACACCTGTGCAAAAATGAACTCAGCCCAGCCAGGCTGAGTATGATGCCCATCTTATGTATATTAAGACCTATATCTTTTACTCTTTATCCGATGTGGGACTCTACATTCACACATTGCTCAAACAGGACTGATCCCTTAAGAGGCAATTCCCAGCTTCACTAGCAAGATACGTGTGATGTTACACCTGTCTGCACTGTTTTTTCCCAACCTACTTTTGCCCATTTTGGATAGTGTCTTATCCCTTTATGTGGTTGGCAATACTTAAACATATACATAGAATAGTCATGTTCATTATCTAGGTTTGGTGTCCACAACGTGGAAGAGAGTGAGTAGAACATTACCTATAGGATTGAAAATGTACGGATGAGGTGGAAGAGTGTTCTTGGAATCTTGTACTATTGGTATATATTTATCAATTTGATGGGAAGGTTCACTGATGAGCTTTATGGGACAGAATGTCAGGTAGTCAAAAACAATACAATCGTGAAATGAGCATGGATGAAATGTGGATGTTGAGATGGATAAGAAAATAATAAAAAACAAAGATATTCGTGAAAGACGAGAAGAAGAACGAAAATTATATGAATATTTAGGAAAGAAACCAAATCCATGGCTCTAGGTAGAGAGGATTTTCCGCTTCTGGATTTGAAAAACTTGAAGAACATACCAAAGGAAAATTCCTAACCCCACGTCCAAGAATTCAGATGGTAGTGCCAAAATTTCACTGCTGTTGAGGCTACCTTGAACTGGCAGTCGGAAAATACAGTTGCCCAACAGAAGATGCTCCCTCAAGCTCAATTGTTGCGTTGGGCAGAATGGTTTTCATAATGAAAATTTGACTCTAAGCATGTCAAATGCAAGAATAATTTCCTTCCCATTTTATTCTCCAGAACCAAGAAAACAATTTTCCCTAATGACAAAGCACGATTCACATAGGCGACGGATGACAGAAATCTAAGAATCTTTTCAATGATATTTCTGGAGAGATCAAACAAATAACAGATATTTGAGAAGAGAAATTGAAGAAAAGAACAAAGAAAAAGGAAAAACTGTAAAAATCAATTATGTTAATTTTCCATTGAAGGAAAGACACTTTCCTGCACCTATTGAGGAATGGGGCAAGGATTTAATATCCTTTTATAGATCCTAATTAGAAGGTAAGGCTAACAAAAAACGAAGGGCATACAGTTCTTAATTTACAGATCTTAAATGCTGGAGAGGTGGAAGATAGTGAGTCTAGAAAGTAAAAATAGAAATATAGCAGTCATTGAATGAATATAATGATTGTGGCTATGAGTTTGTTTGACCTTATGGTTGTTAAGTCACCAATTTTTCCAAAAGCTTAAGTTATTAGGAAATGGGCCCAACAATGTACATCAAGCTATCCAACACCCTCCCTCACATTCAATCCTGTCTTGCATGTGGAGAGACAAACAAAGAACCAAACAAAAGGAGAAGCAAACAACTAAACAGAGAAGAAGAAACCAAGAGGAGATAGAATACGAAATGCCAATAGAGAGACTTGAACCAAGACCTTTTTCAACCTGAGCTGATACCATGTAAACATCGGTAAGCAAAAAATGTGTATTATCCCAACAATGTATATCAAGCTATCCAACAGTTGTGACAAAATCTCAGTTGTTATATACTTAATGCTATGGACAAGTCTGACTTCATTGCCTACCCAAGCTTATTGAGCTTAGCTTAATTCACAAACACACTGCTTGAGCATGGCTTTTCAACCAACACTACATGTAACATAGGCTTAAGCTGTTGTCTAATTGGCTGTTAAAGGAGCCTATATGAGTTTCTATGAGAGCTGGACTTGAGCTGTGCACTAATGGTTGATATTGTCCCAAAAGTTTTAATTATTTACTAAAAGCTCTGTGTGCGAAAATAATTTTCAACATTTCATGAAGTCTAAGAAGTACATGCACAAACACATTGATACGAAAATTTTCAAAAAATGTGGGACATGACACATGGGGGACACATGCAAAATATCTAATTTTATAATATTTATTACATGTCCTATGTAAGGATAAATAATTATTATATGTTAGATATATGAATATTTAAGTCAAATAATAATTTTTGAAGTCTAAGGATGAGAATAGGTATAAATTTACATTATTTTTGTTTTATCATTGGATTCTAAGTTGTCTTTAAACATGTAATGTGTTTATGAGTTTTGTTAGAAGTGTTTGTGCTTCTTAGTATGAAGCACATATTGATTATTATCTTGTTTTATGTCATCTTCCTTCATCTTTGGGAATCCAGCCATTACTCTGGCCACAATAAAATTATATCCACGGGAGATCATGCATATTCTTTCTGCATTAACATTCTTGACTAGGCCACTTATGTAAAACCTATAGCATTTTCTGTTACAGAATTCTTTGCAGTCCATGAATTTCAGCTGTAACTTGTTTGTGAGAATAGGTTTGTAATCATATACATCATTAATAAGCTGAACATCCCTGAATTTCAATTTTCTTAAAGATATATGAGCAGAAATTTCATTGCAAAAGTGGGAACATTAGGCATGTATATACTGTTGAGTTGGTGTTGACATATTTCTTATTTAAGTCAAACTTCAAACCTTCCTTGTGCAGGACTTCTCTCTAGAAACTTTTAATAGCAGCTCTGTTGTGTTTGCTGGCATGGTGGCTAAAGTGTGACCCAATGCAATATAGCCCACTTACCACCTACCTTATCTTAGGTTAGACCACCTCTCTTGTGCTTTACCCACAAAGTGTATGGCTTCTTTTGCAACATCATTCAAGTCATTATCTATATATAGACCCTTGACAATGAGATTTTCAAACTTTTGTTCAATTTTTACTTCGTTCCAAAAGACAATACTCATATTTACCCAAGAACAGTGCTTGCTTGTAATTTTGGTCATCAATTTTTTGTAGGAGCCTCACTTTGAACTTTCTTCATTGCTCTGTGTAGGACTTTTCTTTTCGCAAGTTCCAGACTACATGTGGACTGCGTTTCTTATCTCAATGGATTTGGGCATGCCTTAATCCAAAGCTGAGGACACCGACAATGCTTGGTGCCGTGGCAGTGGTTGGCTTTGCTGTGGTGTATGCAATTAAATTCAAACTCCATTCTAAATAAGAGAGAGAGATCAGCAAGGAAGTCCTGGATGATGATGTAGATGTGGATGTAATATAGTTATAGGCTTAACTACCAAATTAAAATTCTCCATCTTTCCTTTCTTTTGGAGAGGAGAAATAATCTGAAATAGTTTGGCAAAACATGGGCTTGAAAATGGCCCTTATCATGTTGTTATAGTGGCTCACTTCTTGTTATAATGTACCACTCGTAATACAAAATGGGAAGCAAATACTCTATTGAAAACGTTTCTTATGTTGTTGTGTGCACCTTTCTATACGGTGTGTTCTTTGTTAAGATGTGATGCAGTTGAAATTACGACAATAGCCGCATTGAATCGTTAACTCCAAATTAGGACTCAGTGAGTTATTGGAGTTAGGTTAGGTTGTAATTCGATCACATTGTGACGTAACTTTACCCAAAAGGGATGCACGCTACAAATTTTGCCTTATTATCTTGCTTACAAAATAATCTCAATCTTTTATTTGCGTGGGTTTCATGTGGGCCTACACAAATGAAGGGCTAAGATTACGTTGACATTGTCAAAGTCATTACTATTGTAACAACAGTGAATAATTACTCCTTGAGTTTGTCCTCAAATGGTTTACAAGAACGAATGCATTCTAACCTGTAATTGCCATGATGCAGCACCTTCCCAAGACAAAAATAAATAAATAAATAAAATATAAGGTTATGTTTGAATTTCAGATTTGGCAGAAAAAAGAAAAAAAAAAGGGGGGAATAATATTACTTATACATGCTTATTATTTTGTAAGTAGCTAAGTAAGAAGAGATTTTTTGATATATATATATATATATGTATTCATTTTCTTAAGCTAACCAAGAGGGGTAAAAAATTTAACTTCTGTGTCTATAAATTTAAAATTTATACACAGTATAAAAGTTCAATTTGAATGAATTGGTTGAAAAAGATGAATGTGGTAAATTATTGATAAAAAAAAAAAAAGAAGGAGAAAGATGAATATGGTAAATTACACTTATACCTTTATAATTTTATGCAAACATTACTTTGGTCGTTATTGTTTTAATTTAAACAATTTGAGTTCAATTTTAATTTGATTATTTTCTTCAAATTTTTATTAATTTTTTTTACGTGTATACTTCTGGAGGTTAACAATTGTTTTAAAATTGTTAATTTTAATTTCTAACTTGAACGGAATAATTTTAATTTCTAAGTGTGGGGATCAAATTATTTAATTTGAAATAATAAATATTGAAGTAAAATTTAAGTCAAATTATAAGATTAAAAGTTGTGTAACTGATATTTTTAATTTTTTTATTTTACTTTTCTGGCATATGATAATCCATCCAGGAGATGGTAAAATTGACGTGAAGAAAACACACACGATTCCTTGCTTATCTCGTTTTATGCGTAATGCGAGTGTGGGAATTACGTCTTAGGTGCAAGTCATTAGAAAAAACGTTTTGGATGTCACGGAATTTCCTGTTCTTAATTTTTTTTATCTTAGTATTTCTCTTTGATGACTGTGAGTTTAACATGGGTCTCATTTCGATGATGCGATCCGTTGATGTAATTATGTAAAATAAATGTGATATAATTATGTAATCTTAATTATCAGATTAAATTATTATTATTTTGTTTTTATGAATAATCTATATAGAATTAAATCATCAAAGTGGTATTGGTTGTGAGCCCACGGAAGTCTAGTCCTCATGCTGATTTCTATCTGAAAATGCTCACAATTGTTAGTATATAGTAAGGGTTGAGCATGGTCTAGATTGATTTGATTTGGTATAGAATCAAGATTAATTCGTTGTTTATGATTTTATAAAAATTAAAACCAATTCAATCCATTTAAATTGTGGAAACACGGTTTGAAACTATGGTTTCACACAATTTATTAATAAAGAAAAATCATATAATATTTTTATTTCATAATTTTTCAAAATATAAATATGCATATTGTTCTACCATTAATTGAAACAAACATTATATTTAGTTCCACAATAGCAGTAGCAATCACCAAATTAAAAATTAAAACTGATTCCACCATTAGACCATTACAAAACTAAAACCAAAAAAACCACAACAATAACAACAAAATTCTATAGGAGGAGCAGCTTCATAGCAACAAATTTCACACCAAATTCCACAGGTGTATGATATGAATATAAGAGGTTTGATAGTATCTATCAGGGGTGTATGATATGAATATAATCTAAATTGTATACGGTGTGGATTGGTTCCAAACCGAAACCGCAAAGTGTAGTCCGAAACACGGTTCCTCAAATTTTCAATTCAGAACTGAATCACATATTTAAAAAATTAGTCTATGCCTACCGGATTGGATTGGATTGGACTGGACCGAATTGGTTTGCGAATTTACAAGTTCCTTACTCAGCCGTAGTCTATAACAATTTATATGTGATTAAAAATATTTTGAAACACAAAATTGTGATTTTCTTTACACTAATGTAACAGACTCAATTTTTATTTACAATTTACTCAAAAAAATTAATGTGTGATTTATTTTGTACGTAAACTCTACAAAACTATCATTAAATCTCAATCACACTTCACAAAGAATATTTAACCCTTCCTATGAAACTCCTCTCTCTGAAAAGTTGTGATCACTCTCATGTTGTATTCACACTTCTGATCCTTGAGCTCCCATGTTCTCTCGCTTTCTTCATGCTTAAGATCACTAGTCACAACGTTTTCAGACCTTCCCATTCACACCCAAATCGTCCTCTTCGTTTGTATCAACTACTAAGCAAGTCCTCATCATGATATCATATCACATTGCTTCATAAACACAGCCACAAAATTGACCATTCTATAATAGAGAGACAGAGTGAGAGAGAGATATGAAGCAATATAATTTCATTGCGTCAATAAAAGAACTCCCAACCCACATCAAAAGAGAGATCAGAGAAAGTAATTTCCGAATCGCAGCCACCATAATCCTCTGCATATCCATGTCAATCTTCATCTTCATCCTCAGTGTGTTCGTTAACCATCGTGTTCGAAAATTCTTAGTCTCTGACGAGCTCTACTTCCCTCCTATCACCCCTACACTCTCTCATTCTTCTTCATGCAACGTCTCTTCATCATCTTCAACAAAGAATGGTGGGTTGAGAGAGTGGATAGCTCCTTCAGAGATGTGGCATTTGATGACCGATAAAGAGCTGTTGTGGCGGGCTTCAATGGTGCCAAGCATTGCAGAGTTTCCTTACAAACGTACTCCGAAAGTGGCATTCATGTTCTTGACGAGGGGGAGATTGCCATTGGCCCCATTTTGGGAGATGTTTTTTAAAGATCATGAAGGGTTCTTCTCTATATATCTCCACACTTCGCCTGAGTTCACTGAGGAGGCACCGGAGTCTTCAGTCTTTTACAAGCGAAGAATACCCAGTAAGGTAAGATTAAGGAGTTGGCCTGGTGGCTGAGGCGACTATGCGTGATGTCTAGCTTCAAGATATATAGTTACGAGAAAAATAAAAAAATTAATAAAGATTGCAAAGGTTAGAATTAAGTGCAAATAACAGAACAATGATGTCTAGAAGAAATATAAATAATTAAAATCATAAATTTTTTGATGAATTTATAATAAATTTTAAAAATTATAATTTCCCGTAGAATTAACGGTAAAATAGAAATTAGCATTGTAGCCTCAAAATCTATATACTTTTACTTTTGCCTCTCTAAAATTTAAATAATTTTATCTTAGGCTGTCTCTGGAAAACTTATGAGTCTGTTACTAAATACCCTCGACTACTATCCCAAACTCCCTGTTCATATTTGTTTGAATCAGACTAACTAATTTGATATATATTTTAAAAGTTACTCGCACATAATTGACATAAAAAAGAGTAATATTAGACATCATGAAAGAAATATTATGAAAAGTTTCATAAAAATTCTTCATCTTTAGATTACATACACTATAAAACACTGCACACTAATCAAAGGAAGGAAAATTTTCATGAAAATTTTCATGATATTTCTTTTATAATACCTAACATTATTCAAAAAGATGCTATGAAAACCATAAAATTGTAGGCTCCACAACATTCTCTCTATTTTGTGCACATTTTTTGTGTTTTAATTCTGTATAAATAGGAAAAACTCATTTATATTTTGTGTGTTTTGGGCTTGTGTTTGCAGCCAGTGCAATGGGGAAGGGCAACCATGATCGATGCAGAGCGACGCTTACTAGCCAATGCCCTTCTTGACTTTTCCAACGAGAGATTTATATTACTCTCAGAAACCTGCATTCCCTTGTTCAACTTTACCACCACCTACACCTACCTCTTCAACTCCAACCACAGCTATTTGAGCTCCTTTGATGATCCACGACGCATGGGTCGAGGCAGATACAATCAGAGAATGTGGCCAGCCATTTCACTCTCCGATTGGCGCAAAGGTTCACAATGGTTTGAAGTTCATCGAAAGCTTGCAATCCAAGTAATCTCTGATGTAACATACTACCCAATATTCAAAGATCATTGCAAACCACCGTGTTACATGGACGAGCACTACTTGCCAACTCTAGTCACCAAGGTCTGCCCTGGACTCACCTCGAATAGAACCATCACTTGGGTTGATTGGTCGGGAGGTGGCTCGCACCCTACAAGGTTTGTAAGAAAGGATGTGACAGAAGGCTTCTTGAATCAAGTTAGATATGGGTTTAATTGTAGTTATAATGGTGGTGATATGAGCTCCATTTGTTTTCTTTTTGCGAGGAAATTTCATCCAAATACCCTACAATCTTTGTTACAAATGGCCCCGAGGCTACTTGGATTTAATTCTTCTAGTGCATGAGACTCCTACTAAAATACAATCTCGAGAAAGCAAGATGTAATGCCTGTATTTATTTACTAATTAGCCAAAGAGGTTTTGCAAGGCCAAGAGATTCACAAAGTGTGGAGGACAATATAAGGTATAGAAACAGGGGCAAAACGGACAATTGACATTGTGTCCATGAGGGAACATTTTCCTATAAAAATTTACATGGCACTGGGAAGATTGATAATAGGTACAACTGAAAACATACCTTTTACCAAAGCAGGAAGCCATGAATTGGGTTGTAATGCAAATACTGCCTCTTATTATCTAGGCAAATTATATGATTTTTCTTTTATTTTGTTCCTTATGGTATTTTAGTTTTTATAATTTTAATTAGCTTATTTTGACTCTTAATTTAAAATTTGTATTAATTTGGTTTAATTGATAACGCTAATAAAGATTGTTGAAAAAAAAAAGTTATTGAATTGATTGAGCTTAACTCATTAAGTTAAATAAATTTATAATTTTATTTATAAAAGCATAACGTATGCTGCTTATGGGCTCATGCTCTATATGAAAAGAAAAAAAAAAAATCATAATCAATTGAATCAAATTGATACAAAATCATTAATTTATAGTCAAAATTGAATAAGTTAAAATTACAAAAACCAAAATGATACAAGAATTAAAAACTAAGAATTGCGAGAATCATTTACCTATTAATCTATGGGAAATTTATTAGGAAATCTTTATCAAGTACTTTTATCCTAATTAGTTCATAACATATATTCTTGTATTTTAATAAGTAGTATACATTTGATCCACAAAATTATAATTCTCATATTTAAGATATTTTATAGATAATTTTACCCTTAAAAATATTTTTTGAACTCTTAAGGTGATGTGAACATTACTATTTTACAGTGTGAATATTAATATTACCGTGTGAATGTTCACATCACAAAACATTTATACTGTCAATATAAATATTATTATTAAACGTATTTTAATAATTATGTTATTCATTTATAAAAAATAATTTAAATTAAATGAAATATATATAGATGAACATGAGTTTATGAATACATGCCCCTTATCTATATATCCATTCACCTATAAAATAAAACCTACACCACTTACATATAAAATAAGGTTTATATTAAACAAACCTATGAATCCCACCATTTTTTCCCCGCCCTTCTACATGAAAATATTCTATAGGAATGTGTACTTAGCCGTATAGCCTGCCTCACTATTTTTTTGATTCATTAAAAGAAAAAAAAAATAGTGAGGAAAGCTAGTGTACTTAGCCGTATAGCCTGCCTCACTATGATTGTTTTGGGAAAGCTATTATAAAAATTGTAATTTTATTATAAAATTTTATAACATTAATTATAAAATATGTAATTTTGTCATAAATTAATATAATAAAATATCTAAAATTTTGCTGTTGATGTCGCAAAAGTTTGTAATTTAATTACAATATTTTTTGTTATGTACGTATTTTGTGATTGATGTTATGAAATTTTGTGATTGATGTTTTGTAGTAGAGTGGATATGGTATGCATTTTTAAAAATATTTTTCATTGTTTAGATAGGGTCTTGCTTCCTTCTAATTCAAGATTGAGATTAGATGGTGATTTTCGGATCCATGAGACTTACAATGAGTTTTGTTTTAATAATTTTCATTATTTATTTTATAACTTTTTTTTATATATATCATTTAGATGGTGATTTCCGGATCCATGAGACTTACAATGAGTTTTGTTTTAATAATTTTCATTATTTATTTTATAACTTTTTTTTATATATATCATTCACATACAAAAATAGATCAGTCCGATAATCATAATTTATTTAATCTATTACATTTGCTCAACAAAAAAAAGGGTCAATTTTTAAATTACTCTTGTGAATTTTTAATCGGTATCTTTTGCCCTTGGTATGGGCTATACTATTACCACTATGGGCCTGGATCAGTTTGATGGGTCAAGGTCAACCCAGGACAGGCCAACAGTAATTGACGGGGTCTGGGTTAGTAGGAGCCAGCAGTACCCTTCCAAATTTCAGTAACAGAATTGTTTCCACCACATTGGACATCAATACAGCCATCAACATTTGACCAAATATTTATATTTATATTTATATTCTGTAACTAAAATGAAATAATTAGGTTAAAATTTTATTGGGATAATTAATATAAAGAAAATTTTAAATTGAAACTACGGACATAAATAAATATATGGAGAATAAAATTCAGACATAGATGAGGAGATTCGACCTTGTGATTTAATGAGGTGAACAATTTTAACCAACAAACTAGCCTAGTTGATTAGGCATAGATATTTTGATGATTGACATTTTTATTTTTTTTGATAATAACTTTTTAACTCTTGATCTGGCACGACATTTTTGTGTCAAAATATAAATTAAAGAGTTAATTACTTAAAAGTTTTATTTACAAATGTTATGGTAATTTAGGTCTTATTTAAGATTTTTTGAACTAATAAATCTTATTTAATAAAATTGAGAATATTATCAATTTTTTTTTTAATTTTTAAAACTAAAAACATTATTAATTTTGCATAGTAATGTTCCAGATAATTGTTTCACTAACTGAGAAAAAAAATGATATTAAACATTTTTGCCTTTCTACTTATTGGTTTGATTCAACAATCCAATAAAACCGAGAATATTATCAGTTTTTTTTCCAGTTTTAAAACTGAGAACATTATCAATTTTTTCATTTTTTTTTAGTTTTGCACATCAATGTTCTACTGTCATGCTCCTTTTATAGACACAAAATTTTTAGTTTTGCACAAAAAAATAATTCAATTTTTTCAAAAAAACATTAATTTCTTTAAAAAAAATTTTTAATTTGAAAGTTGATATTTTAAAGTATTAAAAATCAAAATAAATGTCAAATTATTATGTTCCTTTATAGATAATTATAAATGATGAACAATCATTATTTGAAGGACTATTCCAACTATTAAAAATTTAATGAAATTTGAAAGTTCAAAAGATCTTAGTTAGGATTTAATGGAGTATAAGTTTATAAATTAAAATTTGTGTGTAAATACCCCTAAATTAATTTACTTTTTATATATTTTTAACTGAAAGATCTGGAGATCAATTATTGCCAAAGGTATATTAAGGCCTTTAGATATTCTATAGTAGGGCTGAGCAACGGATATGCCGATCCGCCAAAACCGACCGAACCGAACCGATCTGTCGCATTTTGGACGGATGCGTGATGACGAGCGGACAGTTGCGGATTGATTTTCTCCAATCCGCCAATTTGGCGGACGGATGGCGGATTTGAGATTTCTTTGGCCGCAACCGAACCGCCAAACTGCCAAATCGCAAGCACCTCTAATAATTTATAAGACTTTGTATTTTCAATTTGTTTAAATATTATGTTTGTGTTTTCAATTGAAAAAGAGTTTAAATATTCTGTTGAAAAAAAGTTTTCAACTTGAATATATTTTATGAATTGAAAAAAATAAACGTATTATTTATCTATATTTTTTGGTTTTTAAATCTAGCTCTAAAAATAATAAATAGAAAATATGATATATGCTGGTTAGTTTTTGTTTTCAAAAACATATGTAGATATAACAATACAGAGACATACAATCTCTACTACTGCTCTGTTTATGGTTTTGGTGGTTTGAATTGTTATTATATTTTAAGAATCACAGATTGTAATACTTTATGTGGATGAATTATGCTCTGTGATTGTAATATGCGGATGAGGCATGCAGTGATCGTGATATTCTAAAGTTTCAAACTTTCTTTCTTTGGATAAGGTATACAGTGATTGTAATACTTTTTTAAGTCATTGACTGTAATACTTTATTTTTTTTTTCTTTTTTTTTTGAGGAAGTGCACAAGTTGAATTATGTTGAAAATTTATAAAATTTAAACCGCCAAACCGATTCGCATCCATCTGCCAAACCGCCAATCCGCTCAATCCACATCCACCGGATTGGCGGACGGATGCAGATTAATTTTTTTCAATCCGTCAATCTGGCGGACGGATGGCGGATTGAAGGTTCCGTGGCCGCAACCGATCCGCGCCCACCCCTATTCTATAGTATTTATTGTTAGACTTTCTTATATAATTTTCTTTCATATTTATAAACAATATCAAGAAAGTTGCATATATCAAGATATAGATTATATTTCATAGACTTATGTTTGGTGTCTTGACAAGTGATAAATAATTTTGAAAATTATAAAAGGCACTAAGAAACAGAGGTTAATAATCAAACTTGTATACAGAAAGGTGAGATTTGATAACTGAAATCTTTTTCTATGTTTTTTATTAAAATTCCAGCAGGAACATATTAACTATAGCAAGTGACATTACATTGCAATTGCCTCCATGATGTTTACAAATAGAAACCAGGGCAACTTACATTGGTTACCATGACATTTAGAAAATAATAATAATAATAATAATAATTTCCATAAGTTTACATATTATATTAATTATTTTTTAATAAGATTAAGATGATTGAAATTGAAGCGGATAGATAAAGACACGAGAATAAATAAGATAAAATATATATATTTTGGTATAAAAATATGATAATATTATTATTTTTATTTATATGACTAATAAATTATTAATTGTTAGCCCCAAGGTTATTTATATTTAAATTTAAATTTAAATTCTTATTGATTTTGAATATTGACAAATATTTTGAACTCATTTTGTTATTCAAAGTTTTCAAAATAATATTATACAAATTGTGCTTCAATGGTTCTAAAAGATATACGCTTCTATAGTGTTGTTTTTCAATGATTTTTGGAGGCTTTTCCCATATTAAGCCAATTTACTATCTTAATTCCCAAACTAGGCCTAGTTTGGACGGATTTCCCAAACTAGGCTAAAACGCTATTACAAATCACGCTTTCACTGTGTGGAGCAGAAAATTTGATGAATAGTGAAAGCGCTATTACAAACCACGTTTTAATTAAGAAAGTGTGGTTACAAACCACACTTTTTAACATAAATTTATTTTCTGAAGAAAACGTGATTCCAAACTACGCTTTCACTGTGCATATTGTTTGAATTTTGTTTTCTGAAGAAAACGTAGTTTCAAACCACGCTTTCACTGTGCATATTGTTTTCTTGATAAAACGTGATTCGTAATAACGCTTTCATTGTGCATATATTTGTTTTGTTAAGAAAACGTGATTCACAATCACGCTTTCACTGTTCATAAATGAAAGCGTGGATTGAAACCACACTTTTATAACTTATATAAAAACCCCAAGCCCCCTCATTTGCAATCACGTTTTTACACTTACGTTTTTTTCGACTCTCCCTCTCAGACTCTCGCTCTCGCTCTTCCCCTGCTCCTCTCTCAGACTCTTGCTCTCGCTCTCCCTCTGCTCTCACTCTCGCTCTCCCTCTGCTCTCAGACTCTCTCTCTGCTCTCTCTCTGTCCGTGGTATGGCATCTATCTCTCTTCGTCTCATTTGAATTTTATGTGTTTGTTGTGTTTGTGAAAATGTGAATGTGTGGTTTTGAATTGGTAAAAAATGTTGTGGGTTTAAATTGTGAAAATTTTGTAGGGTTTTCAATTGAATGTGAAATCATAAATTATGAAATTAGAAATTAGGGTTTTGAATTATGAAATGTGTTAGGGTTTTGGATTATGAAATCATAGAATGGTTTTGAATTAGAAATTAGAAATTAGGACAGAATGTGTTTTCAATTATGAAATCATAGAATGTGTTACGGTTTTGAAATTAGAAATTAGGGTTTTGAATTATGAAATCATAAATTATAAATGTGTTAGGGTTTTGAATTATGAAATGTGTGGTTAAATGTGTTAAGGTTTTGAATTATGAAATGTGTGGTTAAATGTGTTAGGGTTTTAAATGTGTGGTTATGAAATTATGAAATCATAAAATGTTAGGGTTTTGAATTGTGAAATCAGAAATTATGCTTGTGGTTTCAGAAATTAGGGTTTTGAATTTTGAATCGTGTCTATGTTTTTTGCATTGTGAATTGTGAATCCTGTCTATATTTTTTGAAATTAGGGTTTGGAATTTATGAATTGTGAATAAACCAACCTATATTTGTTGAATTGGAAATTTTATTTTTTGCTTGTTAATTGATGATACAGTTATGATACAACGGGTTCCAGAGGGAATGGGTCAGATTGGTCCACGCTTCTCCAATCGATATCTGAATGGCCAGGCCCACCTGAGAACCTGCACAGGAGTTCAACGGGGAACGGGGAGTCCTCCAGCAAACTCTTCGACGAGCAAGTTAGAGAGAGAAGTGGAATGTAGAGATATGAATTAGAAATAGAGAACTTAACATTTTTCTTTTCTTCAACGTCTGCTTATATCCTTTGGTAATCATTTCGTTGTCCCGTCCGACCTGTCACCTTAGCCAAAAGTCTATGCTGTAGCTTACCTTGTTCAGGGTGAGGGCGTGCTGTCCGGAGAGGTGTTGTCGTAATAAATGCTGTGAGGGGCTGCATTAATGGTGATGTGCAGTGACAATAACTTTGCAGATCTTTGTCTGCTGAGGTGGCTTGCCCTTTACCTGCCACGTGTCTGAATATCATTGGTCCTTCATGTCATGTTGACTTCCAGCTGTGCTGGGCCTTATCAGTTAGGTTATGTAATGGGCCCTAAGTGGTAGGCTTGGGTTGTTCATAGTGGGTTATGGCCTTTATGGGCCTACCCACGTCAATATTAATAAAAGGAATTTTTTTTAATTAAGAATAAAATTATGCGAATTGAAATTCATATAATTGAGAACTAGCATATCACCCGTGCTATGCACGGATTGTGTTTACAATTATCTATATGTGAATTGTGATTTTTAAATGTCTTCTTTTTTTTTTTCTTTTTTATATTATATGAAAGTTTAATATTTTGATAATAATCATATATGTTGGACTTTTCAAAGAATTAAATGTCTTTTTTTTTTATTATTATATTATATTAAAGTTTAATATTTTGATAATAATCATATGTGTTGGATTTTTCAAGAAATTTTTTTTATACTTGTTCTTAATGCATTAAAGTGTTATTATGAGGGATAATAATCATATGTGTTGGGACTTTTCAAGAAATTCATATGTATTAGATTTCAAAGAATTTTTTTTATGCTTGTTCTTAATGCATTAAAGTGTTATTATGAGGGTAAGACTTGGGAGTTAGGAGAAGTTAATAAATGTTAAGATTTTTTTTTTTTAAAATCAAAAAATCAGAAAATTTAGATTGGGAGATTGGAGCTCCCACAAGGCTTGGGGTTAAAAACCCCCTTTTGCTTAATATATAGTATAGATTGTTAATGTCATATTATGAAATTCATATAATTGAGAATTGAGAATTGAAATTCATAGTATGAAATTCATGAATTGAGAATTAAGGTGGGCTGGCAATTTCAATTCGAGGTCCACATGCTTACATATATATGATCATTTTTGTTTCAGAAAATAAGACTGTAAACTGTATGATTGAATTCAAAATCTGAAAATTGAATGAATGTGAAAAACTCAAAAGTTGAGAGATTTGAAAAAAAAAAAAAAAATTGAATTTAGTGCATAACTGCCCATATAACTGATATAGGGGTATTTTTGAAAAACGCAAAATATGAGACATAAACACACAGAGAAGACTTCTCTTTATAAGACTGTAAACTGTATGATTGAATTCAAAATCTGAAAATTGAATGAATCTGAAAAATTCAAAAGTTGAGAGATTTGAAAAAAAAAAAAATTTGAATTTTGTGCATAACTGCCCATATAACTGATATAGGGGTATTTTTGAAAAACCCAAAATATGAGACATAAACACACAGAGAAGACTTCTCTTTATAATAGTACTAGATATATATACACATTTATTCAGTATTTCACCTTTATTCAGTGTTTAGAAATTGGATTAAAATCAAGGCTAAAATAGTCAATTTATTATTCTCAAAGTAATTAAGGGATTAGTGTGAGTGATCTATTCCCTTTTGAATGAATTATTTTGCATTTGATTTTGCTCTAATCTCTTAATAGATATTATCCGTTGCACTTAATTCATGCATTGTGTAAAATTAAAGGATAAAAGTTGATGCAATTAGAGCTTCAAGAATCAAATTGATTTGAGACAAGAAGCAAACTGCACGACTAGGGATTCAATTTGCCTTTTATTACAAATGAAAATCATCTACATTTGACAATAGGGGAAAGATCTGTATCAAACCCAAAAAATTTATACAAATTTTGTCAGTATATATCGCTGCTCTATTAATTTTTTTTTTAAAATTTAATCTTCAATATCAAATTTTCTTTTTTGTCTTTCTTAAATTTTAAGGAAGAAGTCCTAATAATTGGGTTAATTACTTAAAAGTCCAATTGGTAATGTTCATGTTCCATTAAGTTCTCTTTCTTTTTTGTTAACTAATAAAATCTTATTTTCAAAATATTTATTTATATAAAACTGTTTTACCTTTATTAAAAGAAGAAGGAATTGTGTTAATTCCTTGAGTGTTAGTAGAAAATTATTAGATGTTACAAGTGCACCACATAATAATGTTATCCACTAATCACCAAGCATTATATCTTATGCCCTAATACAAAATTGTAGGCCCCAACCTCCCCATCAATCATAAATATTTTGAAAATCACCTAACCATGCCTCAAAAGTACTAGATATTTTCTCTTATTCAAATAGTATTGCTGTTGTGGAATTTTACTTTTATATATATATATTTTTTCAAAACTTACAAATTTCATAATTTTTATTATACACATTTATTTTTAATAAAATATATATTTTTGGAGTCTACACAATGAGATTTATCAAACATGACCAATATTGAATATAAAATTTAATACAAATAAAATATTATTTTTTTAGTTATAGAAACCTAACAATTTCTCAGTTTGCGAAATTATCTAATAAAATTGAGAAAATTATCTAATTATCTAATAGAAAACCTAAAATATGAGACATAAAGGTGGGGTTGTATACTTGAATCTGCCGTCTAGATATATATACACCTTTATTCAGTATTTCACTTGGTAATATCAAGGTGTGGTTGTATACTTGAATCTGCCGTCTATTATACTATATGAGAAATGGTATTTGTTACTTGATTTATTTCACTATACTATTTTACCCTCTAGGTGTATTTATTCAATTCAAGACATTGTGCATATTTAATAAAGGGCAAATTTCACTTCAATGTGCATATGCAAACTACCCATATAATTTGGAAATAACTGTAATGTTCTTGTGGTTTGTGGACTAAATGAAGTATACCGTTAGACGTTCAATCCAAGTTGCGATCAAGTGTGAAACATGTGCTAGGTTATAAGGGGGTTATGTTCTTATTTTCAAATATCGGAGGTAAATCACACATAGAGTAAAGCAAAGGGGGTTAAAGTCAATTTTATCTTTCAAAAAAATGACAAATATGAATTTCAATTAAAAATACTAAGTGTATGGAAAGATTAACGTTTTTACGTAAGTTAAATTTCATGAAACTAATCTCTACTAATTGAAATTATTCAAAAAAAAATATATTTAATTTTAACTCTATTTTATTGAAAAAAATATATTTTTATTGACTTCAAAATAATACCCATGAAAAGGTCATGTTCTCTCAAATAAAAGACAAAATGACTATATTAACCTGAAAATACTATTTTACGTATTTTCTTTATTTAATTGTGTAGGTTACATAAGAGATTTAAACATTTATGGCATCCTTTAGTGAAAATAACATTGAAATTTGTAACTAATTATCTATTAAATGGGTTATCTGTGTCAATTTCATATTATGCAGGTTTGACATAACCCTATTTATTTATCATGTTATTATATAGTGTCATATTTGTGTTTGTGTTGAAAATGTTCGACCCTAATCCCTAACTTCGTGTACGATTTATGTTGTGTTAGAAATTCCCACCTGTAATAAAATCAAAGTAGGTTCAAGTGGAGTGTGCCTTTGGCATATTATGTGATCAATGATGCTAACAAAATTGACGTTGTTAATTTATAAAACAATTATAAGACCAGTGATACTTTGCAGTCCACATAATATTGGACAATTAAGAAACAACAAGCTCATGAAATGAGTGTAGTTAAGATGGGGATGCTTAGGTGGGTGTTTGGTAAGTTTTGGACAGAGAGAAATAGAAATGAATATACATTAAATGGTAGGAGTAGCACCAATTGAAAATATGTTGACAGAGAACAAACTAAGATGGTTTGGTATGTACAATGAAGACTAGCAGATGAAATGGTAGAGAAGAATGTGATAGGATCATCGTAAAAGGAAATGTTAGGGGAAGACGTAAATTCACTTTGGATGTGATAGTAAAAAAATTAAACGAATTTATTTAATTTAACCGAGCATATAGCTTTTAATAGTACGAAATGACGAAAAAAAGATTCACGTATCGTAGCCCAGTTGATTGGGACATAAAGCTTTGTTTGGTTTAGTTTCGTTTGGTTTATTTCACTGTATTTGGGGTCAGGCACCCAAAATATTATAAAAAATTCTTAGGATTTATTTTCATTTGGGTTTTGCTAAAGGTTTCCACTTAGTTGTTAACTACCTAAATCCATACTTTAGGACATAGCTTATTGCAGGTGTCTGCATATAAGCACATAAGCACTTGTAAGTTGTATGTTAGACCTGATTGCACTCTGCCCCTTCAAGCTAACCAACAAAAAAAACTAAATTTTGGGAGGTGCCACATTCTTCCACAACCATTTGGAAAATCAAACCAAACAATTTATTTTTGTCAAATTTATTTATATTTTTTCAAAAAAATCAAAAAATAATTTAAAAAATCAAACCAAACCGCTATATCATGTATTATTTTTAATATACATTCTCTAACGCCCTCAAAATAATACATAAAACCCCACATTCTTGACAAGCATTGATATAAGAGAAATAAACACTTTCCATTTATCAGAGTAGTCTTTGCAAATGTATTACATGTTGACAACAAAAGTAAATGCCCAACGACTTTCAACTTTCCAAGCCAACACTTGGTTACACAAAAAAGAGTACTAACTCATATCATATTAAGCCCTTGGCCCGAATTTACATGTAATACAACAAAAGATAACAAAATAACAAAAAAGAGTCTTCAACTCCTAAGACCTTCCAAGCTATGTCCTTGGAGGTGGCATATCACCTGGACTTAAAAATGATGTCCCATATAGGGTGAGCCACAGCCCAGTAGAGATATACTAAACCAAATATAAGCAATGACTAAAACAATAGCATTTGATAGATGGTTAACACTCATAAACCAATTAT